CACACACACACACACACACACACACACACACACACCCCTACCTGCCAGTTGATGTTTATAGTTACCAGTCTCTTGTAGCTCGAGTCAATCTAATGGCCAGTTAGATTGAACACGAGTATGGACTGGGCTCTATCAGTCGCGATCCGATGCTCCGAGACTTTGCAGAACTGAACCCAGAGTTCCATGGCAAAACACCCCAGCTTTATAGTTGTAAATTCCAATTTGAATCCATGCATTTTGCAATGTCATCCTGTAATCATTAGTCCTTTAAGTGGTGTTAATCTTGGGGTTCTCTGCTGTTATCATTTGATGGTTATTGTCGGGCTTCCCATCGTTATCTCCTATTTCTTGTCGTGCCTTTGGGGATGCTTGCCTCACCTCTGAGGTCGTCAATGCTGCTAACATGTTTAGCATCCGATACAATGCATGCTTTCTGATTGTCTCCTGGTTTTTCCAAGTCTCTCACTTTTTCTTGACCACCTGGACATTTGTGATGGCTTTCACACCTTATCTTTTCCTGATGCATGCATTCCTCATTCACACAAACAATCTCCTACAGAAACCTTCAAAGGTATACAAACAGCATTTTATATTCAGCAGAATACATTGTAAATCAAGCCTTGCTAAATCTTATAACTAAAACAATTCACATTGGGGATTCAGGCCCTCAACATTCCTCTAATCTGCTTAACATAGACACAATACAAGAGCCTGTCTCTTAGGGCTTGTCTTCAATACCCGCCCGGATCGGCGGGTAGAAATCGATCCCCCAATCATTGCATGTACTCCACCAGGCCAGGTAGGAGTAAGCGCCGTTGACAGGGGAGCTGCGGCGGTCGATTTGCCGCCATCCTCACAGCTGGGTAAGTTGGATCAGATACGTCGAATTCAGCTACGCTATTCCTGTAGCTGAATTTGCGTATCTGAAATCAACTTCCCCCCCCCCCCCGTAGTGTAGACGTAGCCTTACTTACTAAAACTTTAAAACAAAGAAATGTATATTTAACTAGAGTGCCTAATTTGTAATACATATAGGAAACCATAGTAGCCATTATAACTTATCCTAAAACAAAAGGGTGACCATAATCAGTCATAAGGATTGTTCTGGTCTGTCATTCCTTTCTACTATTCAAAAAAGGTGGCTGACAGGATAAAATCAAATCACACATTAATTCTCATAGTACAATTATAAAATCCTGCTCCTACCCAGGGAAGGGAGCAGGGGGCGTTGGATAGGCTTGGGAGTCCCAGGGGGCCTGTTAGGGGGCGGGGTGTGGATGGGGGCAGGGCAGCAGAGGGGATTGGATAACAGGTAGGGTCCCAGGGGGGCGGTTGGGAGCAGGGGGCGGTCAGGGGATGGGGAAGGCTGTCAGGGGGCAGGGGTGTGGATAGGCATCGGGGCAGTTGGGACAGGGAGCGGGGGGTGTTGGATAGGGATTGGGGTCCTGGGAGGGGGCGGTCAGAGAACAAGGAGCAGGAGGGGTTGGATGGATCGAGGGTTCTGAGGGGGGCAGTCAGGGGGCAGAAAGGGGCGGGGGCCAGGCTGTTTGGGGAGGCACAGCTTTCCCTACCCTGCCCTCCATACAGTTTCGCAACCCCAATGTGGCCCTCGAGCCAAAAAGTTTTGCCCACTTCTGTGCTAGTGCTTAGCAATCAACCAAGAACAGAGGACCCATTGTGCTAGGCCAGGGCCGGCTTTAGGCCGATTCAGCCGATTCCGCTGAATCGGGCCCCGCGCCTAAGAGGGCCCCGCAGCTGTCCACCCCAACCCCAGATCACTTCCCCCTCCTCCCCTCCCCTGAACGCTCCGCCCCCTGCTCCTCCCCCTCCCCTGCTTCCCGC